AATGACGTACAATCACAACAGCCACAAGTCGACTACTGAGCGCACCAAGTTCCTGATCACGCAATGTGGCGTGATCAGCTGCAGCCAATGATGGCCAAGCGGAGCGTGACGTCACGAATAATACAAGTGGGCTGAATTTATTTCGTGTAACACATTTTTTCCTAAGCAACTAAATATTTGTAATCTAACACGGCGAAGAAAAATTTTGTGGCCAAGTTTTTGACGGCCGGCAAAAACGGGCCCGACATTGCCGGTGCGAACCGGGCCGCTACACTGTGTGTGTCTTGACCCCTGCCGAACCCCGGAGAGTGACTCAACGAACCCCTGGGATTCGATCGAACCCAGCTTAAGAACCACTGGTGTAACAGGAGAACAGACTTTTCAGCAAATTCAATGAACAAGGATCAGCAATTTGAAATGGCTTAGGCTGTAGTTGTGTCTAAGGCTATGTGTGGAGGGTTATTTTGAAAGGGTTAGGGGCAAGGGTTAGGGCTGGGGCGATAGGAAGAGGATTGCAACTAAGATTACGGCTAGGGTTAGAATCCTGGCTTAAGATTTGCACCCGAATTGGAACAAGGTTGAATAAAAAGGTGACAAGATAAAGGTGCAGTCCTGCAATTTCCTGCTCGTTCCACTGCTGGCAAAAGGGCCTCCACTCGAGGGAACTCTATAGAGTTCCTCGCTGGAGGGTATCCGGCCTAGATAGATGTACCTACACTTTACCCCACCGTACATGACCTGTCCATTAACCAACAGCGCTCGACCCATTTATCGTTGTGGGTTGACAAGAGGCGGGGAGGAGATTTTTAAGAAACTTTACCCCGTTGTTTCAATTGCCACGCCGGGAGATCGAATTGCTCCAGCGAACTCTCGATCGCGAGTCCAGAGTCCTAACCGATGCACCACAAGAGAGTCGCGAGGTTGAATGCTCGGGCCACGGGTTTATATGATCATCAAGGCCACCATAAGGGACAGAATTAAAACACTTGCGTAGCATCGGGGCTAAGAGCAGATACACGGATGTAGTTTTGGATTAGATGGGACAAACCAGGATAGAGCAGAATGCGAGAAGTGAAGCATATTCTGGGTCTCAGCATCCAACATTGTCACCCAGAACTGAAAATTTGGCTGGGTTCGAATCCAGAATTTGTACAAACTTGGTTCTCAAGCGTAGAGACCATTGATGGTCTCAGCCTGTTTGCGCATGACATTTAGGTTTTTTTAAAACTTTTACTTACAATCGGCTAATTTCAGGTGAGCGAATGTAAACTCTCAGCTCTATCGACATGTGCAAAACCCTCTTTCCAGGGCATATAGGAAGTGCGTCACTGCTATGGATAAAATGGCTTCAAAAATAGCTCTGTGTGACGTCACCTCCTAGGGCCTTTTACTGACCCAGCGTGATTCACTGCTCGCTTGCGAGAGTTCTAAACGGAAATGTCCCAGAGCCTCACGACATGGAAGCAACAGGAGGGAAGGGCGGTGGGGGGGGGGCAAAAAGATATTTCGAAAAATTAAAGTATCAAAGAGTTACCGTGTAATATAAAACATTCGCAATAATGTTCTGCATAGGCCCAGTGGACACTCCAACGTTATCCCACGCACGCCACAACACGTAGGGAGACATCAAAGACAATTAACATACTGCAAGTGCTGTTAGCGAGCAGCACCTATGAAGGCCGGCACGGCACACGAGGGGGTGGGTGGCCAGCACCGCGCCCGGCCGCCTTTGTAGAAAGACATCACAAACGGGGTCACACGCAAGCGTGTAAAGGGCCGTGTCAAACAAAACCAGAATCAGAATATGGCAATCTGATGAGAGATGAAGCTCTTTTTTCACAGATGTCCAACAACAACACTCACTGACCCCCCCCCATCCCCGCCGCTCACCACGCTGCAGGCCAACGAAAGAAACCGATGTCGTTTCCGTTTCGTGCCACCGGCAATAAACTCCGAGGACGGCGATCGTAGCTTGGACCTCAAATGCCACCACGCTCCGTCGCGCACACACTCGCCGTGCGGCTTCACAGCGTGTCACGTGACGAACGCGGCACGCGAACGTGGCACGCGAGGAGTGTGCGCGCTACAAAGCGCTCACGTGTGCTCAATAGGCGCGCCATGGCGAAGTCAAAGCAAAATTGGAAGACGACAAAAAAATGCATGCCGCGCACGAGTCACGCTGACACACAAAATACAAAGATTAACCCCCCCTCCCAGCCGTGTAGCCTGAATGAGCTGTTGGTGTCAGTGCTGTTAGCGAGCAGCACCTATGAATGCCGGCACGTCACACGAAGGGGTGGTGGGTGGTCAACACCGCGCCCGGTCACCTTTGTCTCCTGAGCGCCGGTATTTACACACACACCACACTCGGCACTCATTTAAGGCCCAGTCGACCTAGGGTAGGCAAAGGACCAAATCAGATAAAAAAAAATTGGATATTGGCTGCAAGCAGGAATATAACTCGGGCCGCCGGATTCGTAGCGCGGCGCACAAACCGCCACGCTGGCGCTCCCCACAAACGCACGAGCGCGCAAGCAATACCTCAACAAAAATACAGTGCAGTAAACATCACACGGTGTTTGCGGAAAATGAAGAATGGGGTTCAAGACTGGGGCTGTGAAGACCTTTGCTTTGGAAAAGCATAACAAACTGGCGTTGCACTCGGACCAAACGAATTGTGCTTTCTTTTGCAACCGGACCGAGCAGCCCCCGCTGAAATTCCTCGACAATATAGCGTGGCGGCAGAAAACGCCATATACGTTGACCACATGTACACGTTGGACTTTTTTATGAAGGCCGCTTGCAGCCGGGAAGGCTGCACCGAGCCCCGAATTAATGTGGAGCGAGCCCCCCAAACAGTGTTTGCTCCTTTAGGTCTCACAAAACAAAAACTTCTTCAGAAACGGAATTCAGCTTGGGGCCGAACAACGCACGGCACAACCCGAGGACACATCGGAGAGTTGGTTCGGCATTTGTCGGGCAGTGCCGGGGTGGGGGGGGCATTGTAAACATCCCGACCACAACCGCCACACAGAGCGGCGTTTTGCGAGCAGGCGGCTACAGGAGGCCCAGATTTAAGGCAGCTCTCGCTTAATCTTTGAACAAAAATAAGCGGACAACAATATTCCTCATTCGCATATCTGTCCCACCACATTAAAAAAAATGTACACATCCCATCCGCCACACGGCCTTCTAGGAGTACGTAACTTCAGCCACATTGGTTCAACGCACCAAAACTCTGGAACGGCTTCGACATTCAGTGTGTCATCAACAGAGGATGCTCTTGTTTAATCGTTAAGCCTCATTGCGATGGCGGCGAGGCGGCGAGTGGTGGAGCAACGCGCCTCACCGAGCGAGTGAGCACTCACTCCCCCCCAATCGCACGGGAAGGTCGTGAGCGCAGGGGGAGCAACACAAAGCCTGACCTAAGGACGCTTGGATTTATGCCGGAGTCCCCGATCGTACGTCTAAAAATCAACCGCTCAACTCCGAAAGAATGTCTCCTAGAAATGAAATATGCCCCTCATGGCAGGGGCAGATGGAGGAGATTGGGGGGGAACTTCCTTGCTGTGCCGCTTGGCTAAGGCTGTGGGAGAAGCTGCGGCGCCCGGATGCACATGGCAGCTTGTCGCAGCCTCTATCACTATCGTAAACAACACCATCGTCGTCATCATCATCACGGTCGTCTAATATTCATACCCCACCTCCCATGCAGCACGTCTCGCGCCGCCGGAGCAAATGAGTGCTTGAGAAAACTAAATCAATTCAGTCGAAGGGATGTTTCTGCCCAAATGGGTGTCGATGCGGTTACTCATCTGCTGTTCATAGTCGACGTTCCTATGACAGGAGCAGGTCTATCCATTTGGACCACTGGTGACTTTCCAACAAAGCGGTGCCTATTTTATTGACCCCAGAAGGATGGTGGGCCGAGTCAACTCCCAGCCAGGATTTGAACTCGCAACCTTCCCGATTGCAAGCTGCTCGCCCTATCGTCGAAGTCACGTGGCAATGATTCACTCGGTAAGAAAGTGACTGCAGACAAAATACAATGTCCAAACAAAACACGGAACACGATACACAACAAGCGATCTTCCTAGTCCCTTCTCAACACGTGCCTAAACCATCTCAGTCTCTCCTCTCTTAACCTTTTGGAGAATATTAGTAACCCGCATGTGCGTATATCAGTAACCCCCGTGTGAGTAAAATGTGTCAGGAATTGGCTGTGTCGGGTGGAGGAGGGCGCACGACACACATTTTACTTACACGGCGATGGGACGCAAAAATTAACTGTGATTGTTCACAACAACTCCTCCGTATGGTTCAAACGTAGGCTGCCACTTCTGGAAAAAAACGATTACTGTACCCGGGCAGTTATTTGTGCCATCCCAGCCGAGTGAGACCCAAGCTAAACTAAACAAAAAATTTTTATTTTACCAAGTAAGGCCCACTGAGATATCGGTTTGGTTACGCTACGTAGAGTTTGAAACCGACGACCACATCGACTTGCAAAAACATACAAAAATACAAGAAGTAAAAAAATGTATATTTCTTTAAAGAAAGACGGACGATGCAAAAAAAATCTAAAGTTTTAGAATGGTTGACATTTTTCCAATGGACCTAGTATAGGATTGAGTGTGGAAATTTTTTCTGGAGGGAACATACACCAGGTATGTGTGTATATATAAAACAAATTATCTCTCTTAAACACTTCCCCCTTCTGTGGATGTGAGTAAACACGTGGGTTCATACCAACGTCAAATTTATCTTTCTGCGTGAGCATTTACAATTCTCGACATCGGCGTACAACAACAAAACAGTTACGATTTTTTTTAGCTGGAATAAACATGCACATTTTTTTAAACGAACACAATCCAGGCTTTTTGGTATTTCAAGGGGCTGCATTCAAATTGTGCCAAATAACGAATGAAATGTAAGTTTTCGGGGGTTACCCTGAGCTATGCAGCAAATCTGAATAAATATATATTTTTAAAATATCGTACCTTTGGTCTGCTTGGAAAATCATACTCCAGTCTTGAAGAATTTCCTGCAAAACAGAGCGATGTCTGTTAATTTTAAACCCTGCAATGCCAACATGATATTAACACAAACGATAGTGTCCAAGTAGGCCTCGGCAAAAACCGAGGGTTACATTTTGAACAACAATAATATTCTTGACTGGGTTCCACAGGTGAGGTGGTTAGCGGACTGCACAATTCAACCCGATGATGATCCGAGTTAGAGTCCTGGCCACAGCAAAGATCAGTGGCTCGTGGTATCTCATACTTGTCAACCCATACGGTTTACCCGTACCTTTGTACAGATAAATTTAGTTTTCAGGTCCATACGACGTACAGCCGTTTCAATACGAGCAACACCAAAACATTGTCTATGTGTTTGTGTTTCTCCCTTGTGATGGGATTTTGTCGGATGAACGTTGAGATTTATAAGGGGCCGTCCATAAATGACGTCACGCACCTGGGTGGGGGGGGGGGGTCAGACATTTGTGACGATGTGTGACGAGGGGGGGGTGGTTTGAGAAATGTGACGTCACATCAAAATGCGCAACTTTAAATAAATAAATACAACACGTTCTACTTAATAAAATAGCCGTTTTAATAAGTGTTTTCTCCTACAACATCAGAGTGCAGCACCACATTAAATACGCACTACAATGACAATAGTTTATAGCGATTTGAAGCATGTTTTTTTTTGGGGGGGGGGCAGAGCTTTGTGACGTCATATTTGAGGGGGAGGGGTGACTTTTTGTGACGCCGTGTGACGAAAGGGGGGGGGGGTCAAAAATCGTCCAAAATCGCGTGACATCATTCATGGACGGCCCCTAAGGGCACGGGGTGACCCAATAAGGTCAGAATTGGTCTGTGATGAGGTAGGGGGCACTGATAAGGGGTTGACAGCTCTGGTATCTGAACTGGGCTCTGGCGACTTCCTCCTAAATTAACGGGAGCCTCTCGAGGGACTTCCACTCATGAAGGTCCTTCGACCCACAGCGGTGGGAACAAGTAATCTCATTGCTGAACCTTTACGCGGTTTTTACCCTCCATTTGCTTCGGTCAGCAGATTACGTAGCGCCCATGGGCAATCGCAACGATGGACACGCGGACAAATGAATCTGGACAGGCAATACGCATCCGTGGTCATACAGGGACCCAAAAAAGTGGGTTGCCGTTGCCACGTCACAATAATATCAAAAGCACTAACTCGGGAAATAATTAACGGCGATGACGGTGCGCTCTCGGCTCCTACTCGCTGTGCTCCCCCCCCCCCCCCCCCCCCAACGGATGCAGAGAAATATAATTCTCCAGCGTTAATAGCCAGAATAATGTTTAATAGATAGGAAATATTCCTCACTTGACAGGGATCAAGCTATGTTCACTTAGCGGTGACAATGAGCCATTTGTCAGTCACGATGAGGATTGCACCTTAAAAAAAGCGTTAAACTGTCTTTAAATGGTTTTAAACAGTTGTTGAAAAAACGCCTCCCGTTTCATGCTCATTATCATTACTCTTTCAAGAGCCTCGTAAGAGGCGAGCAGGATGCTTAAATTGTTATGAGTTTGTGAAATTTTAAAAATGCCGCTGACATTCAGCCGAATTCCCACAAGACTTCGGGGGAGGATACGTTTTTAAATTCCAATGGTACCTCGCGGGACTTGACAAGAAAAACAGGGCACTCCTTATTAGGGTTTGTCTATAAACTCTCATTGGATGCTGAAGGCGAAACTTAAAATAAAAATAAAAAATAAAAAAGGGACGCCGGAATTGTTTATTTGATATTTTGAGGTGCCGCACCGACTACAAGTTTCTGGTTAATCGTGGGAAATTAAAATGAGGTCCTCTGGTTCGATAGTCAATCTCCCGGCAGAGAAGTTGAAACACTTTACAAGTTTCTTAACCGCCGCGTCTGTCAACCCCGCAGTATAATGGGCAACGGCACGGTGTCAATCAGCAGGTCGCGTGCGGTGAGGTAAAGTGTGGGTACTCCCACCTCTTCTGAGATTGTCTGGCCAGCCTGCAAGAGTAGGACCCCCAACCTCTTATGACGTTGGGGGTCCTACTCTTGGTCCTTTGGCTTCTCCTACTGCCAGCAGCGGCGTGTACAAGAAATTAGAACGGCGACTCCTTCTGCTCGAATCCTTCCTTTACCCGATTGAGCAAAGGCCTCACGGCTACAAGGTCCTCCGTTTTGCACCGGAATTCATGTTTTTTAAGCGAGAGCACAAAGCGGGGGCCCACCGCCACGGCTACGCAAGGTTCAGCCAGGGATCTCTGCAGCGCGAGGCGCCGTTCCCCAGGGGCTCGTTCAGCCAGCAGCGCTCCCTCCGCGTCCGCAGCTTCGTCCCGTGCAAATACGACATCCGTTCAGTTTTCTTTCGTCCGCAAATGCAGGGCGACGCCAACCTGCATGGGTTTGTGCGTGTGCTTGTGTAGCGGTTAGTGAGCCGAGCGACGAACCCGGCCACCAGAGTTCGGTTCCCGCTCACGGCCAACGCCGCGTGCCCGATTATATCCGATCCGGTCCTGGGCCTCCCCTAGTACTGAGTTATTGAGTTGCTCGGCACTGTTTGTTAGCGGGCGTGTTGTTGTTTATGTTCAGGCAGGCCTATGGAAGAGGCACCATGCCCCCACCCAACCCGACTTAAGGAAGTCCAACCACATTGTTTTTAACCTCTCCTTCCAAGCCCCCTCCGGATTACGTCAATGCCGACAGTTTCTTTAAACCGATGTGTTTTTGCCAAGCGAAAATACTTACGGTGGAACTTCGTTTTTTGTGCTTTTAATAAATAAGTAAAGATGTTACTGGAAATGTATATCCCCCCCCCCCAAGAGTACAGTATGTTTTGTTTTCAGCGGTTTGTGTTATCTTAGTTTAATATACGTTGTTTACGCCCTTATACTTTTTAGAGCACGCTAGAATTAGTTTAAAAAACCTGATTCCTTGTAAAAAAATATAAACATTTTCAGATCATATTACTTGAACGTTTTATTGCTTTGACAAGAATTTGGTTTGCAAAAAATATTTTATTTTCCTCCACTGGAGCATATGAAAAACTTTTTATACGGTTATGCAATACTTTGACAGAACGGATAAAGTCACGGAGACTTGAAAGATCTCATAAATAATCTAAAGAAACATAGAAGCTTACAACCAAAACGACAACTCTACGTTCGGAAACCCCGATTCAATCCTCTCGACGTTGGCCACGCAAGATGCTGAAAAATACAGTCGGATTCAACTAACGCGATTCCGTTTCCGAGTACGTCTCCGCTTGCAGACGTCAGATAATTCACAAGGGCTTCGATTAAATAGAATAACTTGGGATGGCCATCGCCATGCTTCCGCCGTGTAGTCGTCCACGAAACTGGATCCCGCGGTGAAAACTGCCGAGCATCGCGATCCGCTCCGTCACGACAGAGGGAGCGAGAGAGGCCGAAGGACCAACGCATTTTGACAGGGCCACCACTCCCCCACTCTCTGCTCCAAGTGGAACACACACACATGCACACACACACATGCACACGCGCACACACACACGTGTAACTTCTTACGAAGGCCAGTTGCGGCTTGGAAGGCTGCAACAAAGTCTCTGATGAATTCGCGATGAACACCCCCACCCCCCCCACCCTCCCCCACACAAAGCAAAAGATTTAGGAAAGGAGGAATTAAGAGTATGCACAAGCAAGCACTTGCAGCTTCGTTGTTTTCAACAATGGTTATGGGCGCAGCCCCTGCAATGGCTTTATTGCGCCGCTGCTGGCTGAAGGGGCCTCTCCACTAGAGGGAGCTCTAGAAAGCCCCCCCCCCCCATCCAGAGGGTATTTTTGGCCTACTCTTCCACGCTGGGCCAGACGTAGCAGTTCGAGTTGAGGAACGTCCACACTTTACCCCACCCACCGCGTGCGGCCCTTGCCGATCGCCATGACCCCGGCGAACCCATTTATGCCGCTGGGTGGACAGAGGTGGACGATTTAGGGGACGAGGAATACTACGGAGAGAGCTTCAACTTCCACGACGGGACATCGAATCCGACCCGGTGACCCGAGCGGCCGTTACACCGCAACGGTTATCCACCGTTTGTCAAGTTAAAAAAAAACTTTCGACGATGTTTAATGTCCACGTGTGCTTCGTTAGCAGTGTAAAGTTGCCGCGGGTGCACCGTTATCCTGGGAAGAACAACAATGCACTGTACTTGATTTTATTAACTCTGAGGGGAGTGTGGTGGTGCAGTGGTCCGCGCTGCGCGCTATTAATCCAGCAACCTCGGTTGGATTTCCGGCCAACTTCATCAACTCGTACTGACGAGCATGGGGAAGTATCGTCAAATATCCCAATAAATAACGTGGCATGAGGAGAATGGAAAAATGTTTGAACATTGTTGTTACTATCATGATTATTCATTTTTATTGATGTATTAACAATGTTATGCTAAATTTCAGCCACAAACCTGCAATAAAGTGAGTATCCAATTATGAAAAACACTATCGGATATAGCGTTAGAAATAAAATCCCTTGCGAACTCCACATGAATTATTAAAAGCCCTACTCCAATCGAGGAGGTGAAATGCCTACAGTATTTTTAATGACGTTTCTACAATTATTAATCCCATTCCACTCTCACTCCTCCCCCCAAGCACCACGTTCTGAAAAGTTGAAAAATTAAAACGTTGCAATAAAAAAAAATCTCCCACCCTTGGCGATTTCTCTCCTAAACTTTCCTTCGGGTGCACCGAGCAACATTTAACATTCCTCCTCGTCTTTGCCAACTCCCCTTGCCGTTTCCCAAATGGGTCGCGACAATAATTCCCGTCGCGGTTTATTGTTCTCGGCGAGAGCTTCGTGCCGGGTCAACTTGCTGGCGTCGGCGTTCGTTCGACAATTTTCCCAACAACGGAGCTGCGTTCTGCCACGAACCGTCGAACAAAACGTCACGGCGATTTCCCTTTTTCCTTCTTAGACGCGAGCGCGCAATTCGCCCGCCAATCGCCTCGTGAAAAATGTCCCCTTGCAAATTCCGCCAGCTGGCG